CATGTGAACCCGGCATCACCCATCAGCACCCAACATGTGAACCCGGCATCACCCATCAGCACCCATCATGTGAACCCGGCATCACCCATCAGCACCCAACATGTGAACCCGGCATCACCCATCAGCACCCAACATGTGAACCATGCATCACCCATCAGCACCCATCATGTAAACTCGGTATCACCCATCATGCATCACCCATCATGTATCACCATCATGAATTACCCATCATGCATCACTCACTATGCATCACCCATCATGCAAGTTTCCCCACAGCCAAAGCAACACCCTAAGACCTTCAGATCCCCCAGATAACCGAGACCCCAGAGTTCGTTTAAGCACACAACTCAGGGCCATGCTGCAGGCACCACCTCTGACGGCTACCAAGCGCCGCCCACCAGTCACACCGAGAAATGAACTGAGCTTTCTGAGGCTCGAACCCGCGACTAACTTCTCTCATCTCGATAGCGCTACCACTGCATTGCTAAATCAACCATCACCCATCGTGATCACCCAATCACCAATATTTATCATCCAATCACCAATATTTATCACCCAATCACCCATCGTAATCACAAATCACCCCTCATCACCACCCATCATTCCTCATCACCCCTCATGACCACCCATCACCCCCCATCACCACCCAATCACCCATCACCACCCAATCACCCATCACCCCTCATGACCACCCAATCACCCATCACCCCTCATGACCACCCAATCACCCATCACCCCTCATTCCCCCCCCCCACCTGGACGATCTGGTCGTTGAGGCGGACGCTGTTGCTGCGGTCGGCGGCGCTGCCCGGGCTGATGGACTTCACGAAGATGCCAGACAGCTCCTCTGCGGGGGCATGTACTGTATACTGTACATACTGTGTACTGTACATATTGTGACATATACTGCACACTTGAATATGCCCGACAGCTCCTCTGCGGGCACGTGTACTGTGTACTGTATAATCTACACTTGAATATACTGCACTATGTATAGCACACACAGGTACTGCCTGTCGTAGACCAACGCGCTCAGCGCCGCATGACATGATCCCGCCCTCCACTAACGTAGTTAGCAATAATTCTCTACCATCATTTCATCACTTTTATGTCTGTCTTTGAATTTTGACTTTTAAAGTGATTTTATTCATTTTTAGTTTAGTCGAACTGATGATGGAGCTGGACTCCGAAACGTTTTCAATATTGATATGGTGAATTTTCTTGGCGTTTTCTTTGCTTTTAAATTCCTTGTGAACTTGCGATATAAGCAGACTAATGATATAAGTACTTATATCACTAAATTATATTACACCAACTAGCGCGTGTAGGTACTTTCCAGCGTTCATCCATCACACTCATCGAAAGACGACAGATTTTAGAACTAAGTTTCACTAGAGCAACCAAATTTCGGACGCTGTGCGCTAACATATTTACGTAATTTTACTATGTGCCTGAAGTGATATTACATCCGCGGCCTGAAGCTGCGAAGCTGAGTTCAACTCGGCTGAGTGATCGCATTGCGTCGTGTGCTCATAACAGTTATTAATATAATATATTTTATTTACGTTATATATACTAAATATGATACATATGTAATAGTACAGCGTTGGCAAGGCTATGAAGTTGTGCTGCGATGAAACGTTTAGTGGGGCATCAGCTGGTCCAACTGAGGGCATCAGCTGGCCCAACTGAGGGCATCAGCTGGCCCAACTGAGGGCCTCAGCTGGCCTGACGGAGCACTTAATTTGGCCCGATTGGGGGCAAATGCGCGGTAATCACAGACTGGTGGGCCCCGGGACTTTGGTGGCGGGGACGACATGTTTGCCGGGGCTAAAGAATATAACCCACCGTCACCCCCCATGACCCACCTCTCTCACAGACGTATCCAGCGATGGTGATGCCGAGTCCCTGCTTGTCCTTGACCAGCTCCAGCTCCACCACCTCCATCTCCGGCAGCTCCAGGCCATCTCCACACTCCTGCACACCAGCACACCATGTCATATTTGTTGCCCGCCAGCACACCCATAGTCCGCCATATTTATTGCAACGCACTTACTTCTTATTTCTCAATGACACAAAGAGGTGAATAAATTTTTCATTGGATGAGCCAATTAATAGCCAGTAACTAGTTAAGCAACTCTCAGACATATTTATTCAATATGACCAGCCTTATTTTTAATGTCGCCCTCCAATCTGCGCAGGAAAGCTTCACAGGAGACACGCAGCATTTCTAGAGGGATCAAGTCCCATTCTCGTGTCAATTTAGACTTGAAACTATCCAAAGAATTATGAGGTGTTCTGCAGACCCTACTCTCTAAAATAACCCACACAGAAAAGTCGAGAGGATTCAAATCAGGGCTTCTTGAGGGTCATTCATTTTTGCTAATGAACGCTGGGCTGTGACCCTGAATCCTGTTTTGGGTCATGTTTGAGCCATGTGATGGGGCAGTCTTGTTGAAAACTCCATGGTGAGTGTTTACGGGCCCAAGATGACAACACAGCTTCCAAAATGTCCGAAATGTATCGATGACTGTTCAATTTCACTCCTGAGGGGACAGAAACGAGTGGGGACCTCCAAGTGGCTGTTACCGCGGCCCAAACCATCACGGACATGGGATTTTGACGTCGTGTTGCTGTTCTGGTTGCCACAAATCCATCTCGACTCAAAACTCTGTCATTTTGACGGTTAACGCTTTGTTCAATGTCAAATTTTTTCTCGTCACTGAACGGCATCTTTCGAGCCTCATTCGTTCATGACGGTCTGTTAGTTCATGGCGGTCATATTGAGAATAAATACTTTTGAGAATTGTTTAGATAGTCCTTGGCCATTAGCTCATCCAATACAAGATCAATTCAGCTATTTGTTTCATTGAGAAATAAGAAAAATATGCGTTGCCATAAATATGGCTGACCTTGTAATCCATAGCATTTAAATAAAATGTGCATGTTATTACAGATAATATTTGAGACTTAGGCCCACGCAGCCCACATACAAAATTAGTGCATTATTATATACATGAAAAGTAATTACATAAAATATTTGTGTTATTGATAAAAATAAGAGAGGTTCCCACCTCCTCGGTGGGGGGGTCTGAGGCGTCCCCATTGACCTCCCCAGCAGGGTGGAGGGCAGGGGGCGCAGTCTCGGGGGGTAGGGCAACCGTCTTATGGGGGAGGTAACATTATCATTTAATTAACTCAAGATTTACACATTTTGGATAACTAAACTTATAATTATTAATTATAACTAAAATATATTCAGTATTATAATTGTAATTCGAGCTACCAAGCAGAAAAATTGATCAAACTTGACCCGTGGAAAGTCATTTAAAATTACATGTTACTATTAAACACTTGCGGGATAATATTAAACATTTAATAAAGGTGCACTGAGCTTAAGGCGTTAACATTACATATGAATAACGCCTAGAAATACATATGGATATGGATAACGCCTAGAGTTACACATGGATAACGCCTAAAATTACTTATCGATAACGCTTAGAACTTATGGAGAACACCTATAGAGTTACATAGGGCTGAACTTAACCCACCTTTGACACTGCAGAAACAGGCACCTGTTGCTGCAACTGCTGTTGCTGCTGTTGTTGTAACTGTTGTTGTTGCTGTTGCTGCTGCAACTGTTGTTGTTGCTGCTGTTGCAACTGTTGTTGTTGCAGCAACAGGTCGTCATGTTGCAGCGTATCAGCCACCATATCAGGGGTCTGCTGCAGGATGATGGGGATGACGGTGTCGGGGGGCAGTGGGGGGTCGAGCTCCCTCTGTACCGTGACGGTGGGGGGCGCGTCGGGGGGCAGCACGGCTATCTGCGGGGGGTCGAGCCCCCCCTGCAGCAGCTGCAGCTTGCGGTCCAGCTCCTCGGGGTCATTGAGCACGCGCGTCTCCACCACGGGGGCGATGCGCCCCTGCGGGGGGGGGCATTTAATGAAGACAGAGATTAAATTTTAAATTAATAATCTAGAATTTTAATTATTATTAGAACTAAATTCAATTCTAGATTTTGTTGCAAAATATTGGGCTGGAGAGGAGAGGGTGGAGATGTTCAGGCAGGAGATGGAGGGAACGTACGGGCTGGAGGGAGGGGGAGGTGTCCGAGAGAAGTTTGTGAATACAAATCATCATTTATTTACCAACAGACCAACAGACTAGCTGACTAGCAGACCAACAGACCAGCAGACCAACAGACTAGCTGACTAGCAGACCAACAGACCATCAGACCAGCAGACCTAGTTAGCTATAAGCTCTGTGTGTCACTGAGAGCTTGCCTCAGATGCAGAGTCGACAGCTTATACAGCAAATGTGTCGCGAGGACAAGAACTTGTGGGCGGAAGCAGAAGTCTATAAAAGCGCTGGTAACCTTAGTAAAGCCCCCGCAGTAGTTGATAAGCGCTCCGCGATGTAACTCGCGTTAGAATTAGTCCGACCGTTAACGGTCGACGTCTTATTAGACCTGCATCTGTACCGTATCCCTCATGTATTACCACCCCGTATACTGTGATATATCTCACATATTACCACCCCGTATACTGTGATATATCTCACATATTACCACCCCGTATACTGTGATATATCTCACATATTACCACCCCGTATACTGTGATATAACTCACATATTACCACCCCGTATACTGTGATATAACTCACATATTACCACCCCGTATACACTGTACTGTAACTCACGTATCACCACCCCCTATACTTCACAATATCTCGAGGAGTTCTTCTCAGTTTAAGAATAAAGGCTAAAACCAAAAAAGTTGCATAAAACATTTTACTGAATAGAAGTCCTAGATAAATAAAACAAAACGTTTCGGGTTATGCCCATCATCAGCTAGTAGAATACATCTGGAAATACTTGGAAATCAATTTTAGTAAATAAATTTAGAAAATGATAACCCTTTAGCGGGCAAGCATTGAAATATCCAGAAATTAATATTTCAGAAACCATTTCAAGAAAGTAAGAAGTATTATACAATATATTTATTTAAATGAATTTTTGCAAATTTTGCCTATTGAAGGTTTAAATCGTACTTGAAGAATTCAATAAATGCGATCAGTACACAAAATTTTTCTTTATAATTAAAATTTAGTTTATGCAAATGAAAAATTAGAAACATAAAAATTTAATTTAATTAAATTTAATCAAGTTGCCAAAATAAATAAATATACCTATATATTGATACTTCCACCTTTTGAAGAAAATGCGGAAATAGCGTCAGTTCCATTGTCCAAGTCAAAACCTTCATTTAAATGCTCATATTTCAATTTGTGGACTTAGCAGCTGGTGATGCTATAGATAGAACGATGGTCAGATAAGTAGTGATTGACTGAGGCATTATAAGGATGCCTCAAAAACAAACAGGAAGCCGTGGTGAGGCTTTTTGTGACGCGATTTCAAGTGGTCATATATGGTAACTTACCCGTGAAAGGGATAAGGAAAGAAAGGAAAAAAAAACTATTGACCTAGAATCGAAAGAGGAAAAGAGCTGGATTGGTTATTCAATTTAGGTTTAAGTTTATGGATGTAAAGAGACTCTAAAATTCGTAAATCGGTTTGGCTGCTAGCGTTACTGATAACTGTGATATAACTCACGTATTACCACCCCGTATAAAGATAATTCCTCTAGACAGATGATGTCTTATCCCTCACGCCCTAGTCAAGGAATGCCTGTCCTCAGGTTCAGGTAGAAATATAATAAGTCTGTAGGCGCTTAATGTAGGACCTGACAGAGGTACGGGCTGGAGGGAGGGGAACATACGGGCTGGAGGGAGATGGAACATACGGGCTGGAGGCTGTCTCTTATACACATCTAGATGTGTATAAGAGACAGACATACGGGCTGGAGGGAGATGGAACATACGGGCTGGAGGGAGATGGAACATACGGGCTGGAGGGAGGGGAACATACGGGCTGGAGGGAGAAACATACGGGCTGGAGAGAGAGAAACATATGGGCTGGAGGGAGATGAAACATACGGGCTGGAGGGAGATGGAACATACAGGCTGGAGGGAGATGGAACATACGGGCTGGAGGGGAGGGCCGGTGGGGTGCTCCATGGGGCGCGCCACGATGAGGCGCACGTGGTTGCCGCTCTGCCGCAGCACCGACGCCACCTGGAGCAGATGGAGGCTATAGACGCATGATATATAATAATACATGATGTAAATCAATCTATAGTAATAATTAATAGGTATACAATAATAAAATATACAATAAATTAACATGATAAAACAGCGCCTATAGCCGTTAATAGCGATTGCTTAACATTAATAATTGAGCGTATATTGAACAAATTGAGCTAATAAAAAACCTGAGTGAAAATCAGGCGAGAAATTTATGACCCCATGTACCCTATGACCCTCACTGTACCTCGTGCCTTCCACACCCCCACGCCCCCAAGACCTCCTACACCCCTCATGACCCCCCACACCGCCCATGACCTCCCACACCTCCCATGACCTCCCACACCCCCATGACCTCCCACACCCCCATGACCTCCCACACCTCCCGTGCCCCCACCTGGTCGCTGCCGAGGCCCCGCAGGCTGACGGCGCCGATCATGAGGATGTGGTCCCCAGACTGCAGGCGTCCGTCCTGCGGGGGAGAGGGGGATTAACGGGTGTAATGCTGCCAGCTGTCACGGGTGAACATGATGGGTGAATATGACGGGTGAACATGACGGGTGAACATAACGGGTGAACATAACGGGTGAACATGACGGATGAACATGACGGATGAACATGACGGGTGAACATGACGGGTGAACATGACAGGTGAACATGACGGGTGTAATGCTGCCAGCGTCACGGGTGAACATGACGGGTGAACATGACGGGTGAACATGACGGGTGAACATAACGGGTGAACATGACGGGTGAACATGACGGATGAACATGACGGATGAACATGACGGGTGAACATGACAGGTGAACATGACGGGTGTAATGCTGCCAGCTGTCACGGGTGAACATGACGGATGAACATGACCGGTGAACATGACAGGTTAACATGAAGGGTGAACATGACGGGTGAACATGACGGGTGAACATGACAGGTTAACATGAAGGGTGAACATGACGGGTGAACATGCCGGGTGAATAAGATACAGTCCCCCGGCACCCGCCCTGTCCGCCACGCCCCCCGGCAGGATGGTCTTGACCACCACCCCCGTGGAGCGCCCCCCGGCACCCACCCTGTCCGCCACGCCCCCCGGCAGGTTAGACCTTATTATTATTTCTAATTAATAATAATATTAATAGGTAATTAATATTATTTTATCAACAATAAACCTGCGCCCAGCCCGTCATAAGCTGCGCGCCGGAAACAACATAATAGACATTATTATTCTAATTAATAGTAATAATATTAATAGGTAATTAATATTATTTTATTAACAATAGATAACAAATATATAGTTAATGGTTGTCAATACAAGTTAAAACGACTATTAAGAAGCTGCCCATTGCGCTCCATGCTGCCCATACGCATACGGTACTCTATTAATCACAACAATATTATGTTCTCTCACTGCGGGCGAGAGAACATAATAGAAACTATTATTATTTTTAATTAATAAAAATGATAATATTAATAGATAATCAATATTATTTTATTACCTATAACAAATATATAGTTAATGGTTTACATTACAAGTAACAACGATTACCAGCCAGCTGACCGTTGCGCCAGCAGCGGAGTGCGCTAATGGAAATACTTTGTTGATAACAATACTCCGCCCATACATCACACTATACTTTACATAGTCAGCAGTCATCATAAAGAAAATTAACAGAAAAATATTTGGAACGATATGACTTAGATTTTGGCAAGCATTTGTATTGAAATATTATCAAGAATCTAGGAGTGATTAAACCTAAACAACTGACAATCTAGACAGTCGAGTATCAACACCATTGTCATTCAGACATAAATTAATACAGACACAACACAATCTAGGCACAACACAATCTAGGTACCACCTATCTAGGCACAACACAATCTAGGCACAACACAATCTAGGTACCACCTATCTAGGCACAACACAATCTAGGCACCACCTATCTAGGCACAACACAATCTAGGCACAACACAATCTAGGCACAACACAATCTAGGTACCACCTATCTAGGCACAACACAATCTAGGCACAACACAATCTAGGTACCACCTATCTAGGCACAACACAATCTAGGCACCACCTATCTAGGCACAACACAATCTAGGCACAACACAATCTAGGCACAACACAATCTAGGCGGAACACAATCTAGGTAAAACACCATCTAGGCTAAACTTAATCTAGGCAAAATACAATCAGGATTTAGAGGCAGAAAGTGCACAAGTGCACTAGAGGCAGGAGAGAAACTGGAGGCATTAGAGGCTGTGAAGGCACTAGAGGCATTAGAGGCAGGAAAGAAACTGGAGGCACTAGAGGCAGGAGAGAAACTAGAGGCAGTAAAGGCAGTGAAGGCACTAGAGGCAGTGAAGGCACTAGAGGCAGTGAAGGCACTAGAGGCAGTGAAGGCACTAGAGGCACTAGAGGCACTAGAGGCAGTGAAGGCACTAGAGGCAGTGAAGGCTTACTTTGGCATAGAAGTTCCGCACGTGCTGGGAGCACAAACAGGGACGGGGGTTAGTGACGTGCAACACAAACACAAGGGGACACAAACACAAGGGGACACTAACATAAGGAGACACAAACACAAGAGGGGACACAAACACATGGGGACACAAACACAATGGGCACAAACACAAGGGGACACACACACAAGGGGACACAAACACAATGGGCACAAACACAAGGGGACACACACACAAGGGGACACAAACACAAGGGGACACAAACACAAGGGGGCACAAACACAATGGGCACAAACACAAGGGGACACACACACACAAGGGGACACACACACACAAGGGGACACACACACACAAGGGGACACAAACACAATGGGCACAAACACAAGGGGACACAAACACAAGGGGACACTAACACAAGGGGACACAAACACAAGGGGACACAAACACAAGGGGACACACACACACAAGGGGACACAAACACAATGGGCACAAACACAAGGAGACACAAACACAAGGGGGCACAAACACAAGGGGACACAAACACAAGGGGACACAAACACAAGGGGGCACAAACACAAGGGGGCACAAACACAAGGGGCACAAACACAAGGAGACACAAACACAAGGGGGCACAAACACAAGGGGGACACAAACACAAGGGACACAAACACAAGCACAAAACAAAAAGAAAACACAAACAGCCAAGCAGCACAAACAGAATCACCATCAGAGAGGCCAGATCAAGTGCATGCAAGCTGCAGGGAAAAGGCCCACCCTGGCCCCACAGGGTGGGTCCCACCCTGGCCCCGCAGGGTGGGTCCCACCCTGGCCCCACAGGGCGGGTCCCACTCTGGCCCCACATACGCGCCATTTAATTACACAGTTGTCAGGTCCCCATTGTGACGTCATCATATCTCTACCTCCCCTCTTCCTCCCGACCAGTTCAAACTTTCATCCTCATTTAATGACAACTTACAACCTTTCATTCCCCCAAATCCTCCCGCCCCCTCCCCTAACTCCCCAGTTTAACTATATTTTATCCTCATTTAACACTCCATCCTCTTGCCCAGTTTAACTGTGTTTTACCCCTATTTAATTTAATTTCATTTAGCCCTGTTAGTGCCTAGGGCGCCACACAGTTTGTTTAGGCCGAACAAAAACAAACACAGTTTGTTTAGGCCGAACAAAGTTTTCTTTTTCATCATCGGGAAGTTAGGAGCGAATTTCCAAGTTGGCTCGGCGGTTACGCAAGGCGGGGGGAAAGTTTTGTTTTCCGCCGCCATCACGGTTAAGCTACCTAAGTTTTTCCTAGGGGGAAGGGAGTAAGAGGGGAATATAGGGGGTATAAAGGGGATAAAAGGGAGGTTAAGAAGCTCAAAACTTACAAAAATTAAATTTTTTCCTCAGACATTTGGCGACGTGAGGCCACCTGCTCGATCACCCCCTACACGCCCCCCCTCCTCCCCCACACACCCCCCCACCAGCAACACGCAACGCTCCGTGTACAGCAACACGCAACACGCCGCTCCTGCTCTCCACACACTCCGCCTACACGCCAGGCAATACAATACACAGAAATAACAGAGCCATGCAGTTTTACACAGTGAATTGTATTCTGCAACAATATTAACGTACATTAAGTATTAATAGATGGCACGTATTAAAGTGATAGTTATCTTTCCACTTAAGTTATGGTTAATATTATATATGAACTTAATAAGAAGGTTATTGATTTAGAAGGTCTTTGTCCAAATAGCTCTGCACTCCTTGCCCCTTGGGTGGGTCATCCTGACCCAGTTTGTGCCGGCAACAGGGCTCATGTACCCTCCCTAACAAAATTCGGGGACCGCATAGGCTTCGGCCGAATAGTCGCTACATTCGGCGCAAAGTTATTCTGGGTCTGATTGGCCACCCGATCGAAATAAATTTCTTGTTAGAATCTCATTTCCGGCTTTACAGTCGCCTGAGAGTATGGGTACGCACACAGTGAAAGCAGGTTGCCAGTGTGCTGGTTAACTGCTCAGGCTGGCGCCTGAAACCATAGAATACAGAAGCCTATTCGTACAGGTTTTCACTGTGAACACTTACATTATTATCCTATGTTCATTCTTGTGGCAGGTTGGAGCAGGTTGCCCGCGCGGGCAAACCTGCTTTCACTGTGTACGTACCCTATGACAAGAGTCGGCCGTGCCGAGTCATACCGAGATAGTAAGCGTCTCTGAGGCTGTCTTTCGAACTTTGCGCCGAATCGGACATAGAGAAGCTGATCTACGTGCGGTCCGAGTCCAAGGCGGCCCTGATGCAGGGTCACTCAAGCCTCTAAATTTCAATAGGGTTCTCTACTAGTGTAGTAGGTAAGTAAGGAAGTGCGTCACTATTTGGACAATATGACCCAATCATTTCTCCGAGTTGACACGAGACTCACCACCATGTCTGGCTTGGCGTCAACAGAAGCCGCTCCTGTCGCGTCCTGTTGCAGCTGTTGGTCCTGTTGCAGTAACTGTGGCTCCTCTTGCAGTAACTGTTGGTCCTGTTGCTCTTCTTCTTGTTCAGCATCAAGAACAGGGGATAAATGCTGTTGTTGTTGTTGTTGTTGAAGGTCTTGTTGGATGAGAGGTTCCGGCAACTCTTGTTGTTGCTGGGGCGCTCTAGCAACGACCAGTTCAACGATGTCTGGAAACGTGTTTAAGATTGTATTGCAATGTACGGTGGTAATTCTATTCATTATAATTGAGACGTAATAATCACTAGACGTGATAGATTGATAGAAAATAACTATAGACCTGAGTCAGCGTCTGGACAACATCACGTGACAGATCCCGCGATCAAGACCTCAGCAGCGGGCGGAAGCCGAGACTATATAAAAGTGCTGGGAACCTTAGTCCCCCTGAAGCTGACAAGCATATCGCGATGTAACTAGCGTTAGAGTTATTGCAACCTAACGGTGGACGTCTTAGCCTATACGTTTAATATATCTCTAATGTATAACACCCCGTATACTGTACTGTATCTCATGTATCGCCACCCTGCATCAAGATATGTTATCTAGACAGAAGGTGTCTTGCTTATGCCTCACACACTTAGTCAATTAAGGAATGCCCGTCCTCAGGTTGAGGTAGAAATTTAATAAATCTGGAGGCGCATAAACGTGAATCCGGAACAACAACATCAGAATATGAAGATGTTTAAGTATTAACTTTATATCATTAGCTTAGGACATATGTGGTTCAAGGCTTAACTTTGGCCAAGTTGTCAAGTTAAATTGACTAAAGCTTTGCTTAACGTCGCTAAGTTCGAGGTTAACGGGCCATTAGTGTCACCTCAATACCGATGGATTGAATTATTAACAGGTTATTGCTCAAGACTGCATGGCTGCCGGGGCCCGTTACACGCAGCGGGGACCGTTATACGCAGCGGAGCCCGTTTTTTATCCAATTGGAGGGCCTGTTACCCACCACGTGTCCCCAGGAGACCCGCGACGTACCTGTGGCCCGTTGGAGGGCCCGTTACCCACACGTGTCCCCAGCAGCCCCGCGACGTACCTGTGGCCCGTTGGAGGGCCTCGATGGCCTGCTGGTGGGACACGCCCGTCGTCAGTAGCTGCCCGTTGATGCTGAGCACCTGGTCGCCCTCCCGCAGCCGCCCGTCCCTGCCACACAACGGGCCATCAGCACGGGTTACATGAGGGACGTCCTAATTATGTAACAATGGCCACCAATTATTTTAATATTTAATATATAGCTTAATATTTAATAAATAATTGAATAACGGGCGGCAATGTACGGTGCAAGGCTCAATAACTGCATGGTAATGCCAGATCATATTTATTAAGCTCTACCTGAGGATCTGGTTACGTGACAAAGGTCGTGAAGGATAAGTAAGACACATTTATCAGGATATAAGATATGTTATCATATGTCTAGATATCATATCTTATATACGGGGTGGCAACACAAGAGTTACAATACAGGTAGAGGCTACGGCGTCGACCGTAAGGGTACGTACACAGTGGAAGCAGGTTTGCCCGCGCGGGGAACCTGCTCCAACCTGCCACAAGAATGAACATGGGATAATAATGTAAGTGTTCACAGTGGAAACCTGTACGAATAGGCTTCTGCCGACAACCTGCTTATACCTATTTACCGGAATGTACTGCACATTCTTATCTGCTCAACCTGCTTGGCATGTGGTCATTTTTTAATTAGTTGTACCTTTAAGCCATACATTTACTTTGTTTCTTTGGAGGATTATCGGAGAATTATCGGACGTGGCGCTGGCGTCCACTGCCTAATTAATCCGATAACGACAACGCGAAATTGTTGGGACATGGGACAATGGGACATGGGACAATGGGACATGGGACAATGGGACATGGGACAATGG